GCCTGGTGGAGGAGGTGGTAACTTGGCAGAGCTGCCAAGTGGGAGGCGGAGGTAGCGGGAGGCTGAGTGTGGGGAGGACTGCTCAGCCCTGGCTTGCTCTGTGCCTCCCCCAGGCAGCGGTCTCAGCTCTTTGCATTCCTGACTACCGAGTTCCATATCGAAAGGACTCTGCTTTGTTATGCATGGCCAGGCATGGAGGGTGCAGTTGTCAGTGAAATGTGGGCTGTTGAATGCTCATCCCCAGGCCTGTCTCTGCTTCCCGTAGTCTTCTGAGAACATCCCTCCTGGCTACGAGGTGGTGTCTCTGCTGGAAGCTCTCAATGGGCCTCTCACTCCATCCCCGGCCGCCCTTCCGCTGCACGGGCTTGGGGACAGCCGTGGGGCCGGGATGCTGCCGTCGTATGGCAGCGACAGCCACCTGCCTCCCATCAGGACACTCTCTCCCCTTGACCGCTTGTCGGACTGCAGCAGCCAAGGGCTCAAACTCAAGAAGAGCCTGTCACAGTAAGTTGCTCGCCACCTTTCCCATTGGCATGTTAGCGGCAGCCAACGAGAGAGGGACTCTGCCCTAAGCTTCCTCAGCGAGGCTCCAAACCCAGCCCTTGGCTTCCACACCCCTGCGGGAGAGGGCAGAGCAGGCCCGTGCCTGTAGCCAGGACAGCCACATGCTTGTGAAGAGCCTGACCCAGCTCCCATTGGGGCCAGTGGGAATCCTTTCATTGACTTCAGCGGTCTCTGCATCAGGCCCAAGCAAGGGCGTCATTTCGGGAGGGTAGGGGGGCAGCAGCCGAGCGCACCAGACTGTGGCTTGCTTTTCATCCCGTTCCCAGATGGCGAGGGAGTGAGGGGAAAGTACTCGCATTCTGTGCATGCCTCTCATGCCTTGCTGGAGAAGGGAGCTCACCAGCCAGCTGAGAGAGGCATGCACGGAATGCAGGGACTTTCCCCTCACTCCCTGATAGTCCGGGGAATGGGATGAAAAGCAAGCCACATTCCGGAGCGCAGGGCTGCTGCCCCCACCCTCCTGAAATGGCGCCCTTGGGCCCAAGGTCTCCTATCTGCACTGTATGGTCCTGCCTAGCAGGCCAGGAAGCAACATCCTCTCCCCTAGCCCCACTGGCTGCCCCAGGGACCTGTTGCATCCTGATGCTCCAGCAGACTGTTGGCCTGTGGTAAAAAGGCTGTGGTGGACAGGACCCTCCTTAGGCAGCACAGAATATGCAGCTATGGGCCACGCATGCCTGGGGCTGTTGCTACCAGTAAGCAAGGCACAGGCTTCCTGAGTTCTGGCAGCCAGCCCCATCCCCCAAAGCCCCCAGCCATTGTTCATCTGCTCCACCTCGCTGAGGCCAGGAGCAGGGCCGTGTCTCTGGGAAGTAGAGACCTGGACAGGGCTGGGGGCTGAGGCTGGGGGAGACATGGGAGTAGAGCTCTGGGCAGCAGCCAGGCATAGCTGCGGGGATGGTGGTAGAGCCCCAGGCAGCAGCTGGAATCCCAGGAGTGGGGCTGGTGGCAAAGTGGCACAGCAGCTGGGACCCTGGGCGTGAGGCTATGGTGGGGACCCCAGGTGGCAGCTGGGAACCTGGCAGAACCCAGGTAGCAGTCAGGAAGCTACATAACATATGGGGGTGCTGCAGTACCCCCCTAGTTCCCATGCCTATGCCTCCTTGCCTTGCTCCTGCCCCAGCAGCCCTGAGCACAGCCCCCACCCCACGGAACGGCCACTCCACCCCCCATGTGGGGCACCATAAACCATAAGGATGGGCCTGGTGGTGGAGACTTGCAGCAGAGGGATTAATGTGGCCAAGCCAAGGAACCTTGGGGGTGGCTAAGGGCTGGGTCCAGTCAGGTGTCAAACACCCTCAGTTCCTATCTGGGCTTAGCTGGAGTAGAGGCAGCACCCCAGTGACTTCAGTGGGACAGCTCTGGATTTATCCCAGTAAAACTGGGGAGAGATTTTTGCTGCAGAAAGCAGAACAGATAAGGGAAGGGTCTGTACAGAGAACCGGGCAAAGGAATAGAATCATGGCTCTAAGGAAAAGACATTTATTTCACTGATCCGAGTAAATACCACTTTTCGCCTTGCCTGTCATAAATGCGCCCCAGAATGCTAATAGGGGCCTGGGGTACAAAGGGTTAACGCCCCTACCACGTGGCTGCAGCTGTTATTGTTACAACCGCCTCTGGTTGCCCTGTTTCTGGCCAGTGGAGGCAGATACTTATGGCTCCGGTAGCAATGGCTTTCAGTGGTGTTTACCGCTGTGGGTTCTGCTAGTGAAATCGTAGGTTAATAGAAAACTCCTGTCCCCTCCGTGCTAGGTCAGTGTCCCAGACCTCCTCTGTCCTGCATGAAGAAGAGGAGAAGTCCTGCAGCGAATCAGAAATCAGGATTGCCAGGAGGAAGTCTCCTCGTCAGCAGGAGGAGGTGATTGTGGAACAGGGTTCTGGTTCTGGCCCAACGTGGGCCCAGCCATCTGGAGCGAAGAGACTCCATAGAATTGACACTCTGGGCTTCCCTGTTTGTTTCATTCCTCAGTCGTTCTATATCAAGCAAAGCTCTGTTATATTTTTCTGTCAACCCAGCAAACTCAGCCTGGGATCTGAGAGTCAAGCTGGGCTCTTTCTTTCTCGTGCATGGTTACCAGCAATGAAGATTCTTCAGCCAGGTGCTGTCCTTTGTAAATGACCTCTGTGCAGCCCTGTTGCCCTCAGTGGACTTGCTCACATTTAACTGGGGACACTATATGAAGAGGCTGAGATGCACAGGTGACCTTGGAGTCGGAGTATAGTTAATCCTTCTGGGTATGTCTACACTACCACCCTAGTTCGAACTAGGGTGGTAATGTAGTCAACCGGAGTTGCAAATGAAGCCCGGGATTTGAATTTCCCGGGCTTCATTTGCATGTTGCCGGGCGCCACCATTTTTAAATGTCCGCTAGTTCGGACTCCATGCCCCGCGGCTACACGCGGCACAAACTAGGTAGTTCAGACTAGGCTTCCTATTCCGAACTACCTAGTTTGTGCCGCGTGTAGCCGCGGGGCACGGAGTCCGAACTAGCGGACATTTAAAAATGGTGGCGCCCAGCAACATGCA